GGGCGGCAGGGGTGGCAGCCTGCTACATCTGTAGTAGGAAGTAGAGAGAGATGAAGGCTGATGCTTAGCTCCCTCTCATTTTTTTATTCAGCCAAGATCCCTGCTTTCTGCCGCCCACTTTCAGGACGGGCCTTCTCAGTCTGGATTGTCTCTCACAGGCCCTGAGAGAGACTTGGGTCGAGGAAGTCAGGCAGGTGTGAGTGAGCGAGCAAATGAATGCGCACCCTCTTCATCTCTCACCTCGGTTTGACCCCTAGGTCAGCGACATTCCCGATGGAGGTCGGCGTGAGAGCTGCTCTGGGACTCTCCCTAACCAGTATGTCTGGCCTCAGCCTCGTCTCCCCTGCCTGGTTCCAGACCCCTTCCTCTTCCTATGGTGTCTTTACCTACTGCTCCTGGCCACAGGGTGACCGTTGGAACCAGAGCTGTGTGACCTTTGGGTCCCTGAAGGACATGCCCAGCTTGCCCTGGAAGGTGAGACACAAGCTCTTCCAGAGCGGCTGGCTCCCAAGGAGTGGGCTCTGAGGGTCCTTTGCCGACCAGTGTGTGTCCTAGTATCTGAGCACACAGGATTCCAGCACCCAGCAATTCTCAGGAACACCAAGGAACTCTGCATAGGGTTCTTTACACCTCTGAGCTTGGGGTTCTGCAAACATTGGGTAGGTGTGACTTCAGTCTAGAGTCAGCTCTTAGTCCCCAGAAAAATCTTTGTGCAAGCCAGAAAAAGGCACCTTCTTCAAGGCACCATACGGCCACCTACTAGGAAATCGCTGTCATCGATAAGCAAGTTTGTGGTGGTTCTGCAGTGTACAACCTGTACATCCCTCCCTGACTCCACCCAGGTACTGCTGGGGTTAACATGAAGAATGGGGTGTTCAAGTTCTTGGAGCATCATAGTGATCAACATAGGGAGGGTGAAGTCTGGGTACTTAGACCAGCACCTAAGAGGAAGATTATACAGCCTTCAAAATTGATCACAAAGGTGACATTGTGAATGGGGGGCTTCTCCTGGTGATCCTGGCAAGTGCTTAATCAGGGCAGGATATAGTGGATCATTGACCTGGTTATTGGACTAGCTGTGTGTCTCAAGGCCAGGAACTTACAATCTCTGAGCCTCTGTTTATTTAAGGGAAAACAAGGCTATAGTAACACATAGCCGCAATGACAATTTTGGAATTTTGGGTTCTTTGTGGGAACATGTTTTCACTTTGATCCTAGATGCGGGATGTGGGGCTGCTTCAGACCGTCCACAGCAGCTGACTCTGATTTGCCTCGTGCTCTAGCAGGAGCGTGATTTTGCCAGCTGCAGATATTTTCTGTGATTGCCTGACATTTAGGAATTCTGGGGACTTTTCAGAGGGTATCTAAATGCAAAGGCCCCGAGAGGTGTGGGGTGTTGGTTTTGGTTGTTGGTGGTCGTAGTTTATTAAGTAGTTGTATACAAAGAAGACACAAGAAGTATAAATTAATATCCTGAAGGCGAAGGTCAAACTTGACCCCAAGGGATTTGATGTCCATAGTCAGCAGGACACAGTCTAATGATAACTCTGCCCCCTTTCCTGTATCCTTTTGTCTTTCCTACTTAGTGTTAGGGGGTTGAAAGGGTGGGAAAGGGGTGAAGAAGGGTGGAAAAAAGAAGAACCTACAAAGTAGCCAAACATACATAGCTGTTGGAAACATTTTAGCGGAAAACAGGCAGCATGACTGCTGTGTGCCCCATCCCACCTCCCTCTCCTTTCTCCCAAGGTCTCAGCTGCAATGCTCCTGGGAGGCTGGCTTTTGCTGTCCATCAGCGCTCTTCTCCCCTGGCCTTATGCCACAGTAAACTGTGCTTGGGGCATGGTGTGTGTGTGTGTGTGTGTGTGTGTGTGTGTGTGTGTGTGAGAGAGAGAGAGAGAGAGAGAGAGAGAGAGACAGAAGACAGAAAAACAAAGAGAGAGAGAAAGAGAGAGAGAGAGAGAGAGAGAGAGAGAGAGAGAGAGACTACTTCTATGTTTCTCTTTCACCCACCCATTCTATACCGTACTTAGTAGCGCTACCACTGCACAGTTGGGTAGGCTGTGCACTGCCCAAGGATGCCCAACCAAAGGCTGGCAGCCCAATCAAGGGCTGAGAAGATGCTGAAGTCTGACCCTCACTTCACTTCCTGCTTCAGTGGAGGAGGGCAACTCTTCTCTAGTTCACCAGGAGCCCTACAGTGACTCTCCACCCCTCTCACCTGAGTTAGAACAAGGTCCCACAGGCCCCAGTTCTCCCCTTTCCCTCCCTCACTGGGCAGACAGGTCCAGCTGAGGTGAAATCAGATCCAGCCAGCTGGCTGGCTCATCCACCTTCCAAGGGCTTCCCATGGCAGGCAGAGGGAAACCCAAGTCTCTCTCTCTCCTACCTCAGCTCTCCCTGTCCCGGCCTCACCTCTCCAGCTGCCCTCTTCTCTCTGATGCTGTAATCCCACACTCACCTCCCCATCTACCCCTCCTGTCTCTGCAGGGATCTGCTCAGGATTTAGCATTGTGACATAGCCCCTTACTTCTCAGTAGGGAGGGAGCCATCTCTCCTAATCTCCAGGGTCTGCCGGGCTCTGGACTGAAGGCTCCTCTCTCTCTCTCTCTCTCTCTCTCTCTCTCTCTCTCTCTCTCTCTCTCTCTTCCAGAGGGAGGACCCCCAAGATGTCTGCTCGTTTTATTTCTATCCTTAACACACAGCTAGAGTCCTAGGAGTGCCTTTTGCTTTTAATTTATTTTTAATAGAATTCTGATCTTTAGAATCTATGGGAAGAATACACCTAGACAGGTAGTGTCAAAACTCCCCAGGAATCTGCAACTTGACATCCCAGAGTTGTACTCCCATGAACATGGTAGCAAGCAGGGCAAAAGCAAGATCTCTCTCTCTGCCAGGGCTCCTTCCTGGGGTGGGGTCCATTTAAAATTAAACATTAACAAGGAATGGCACAGAAATTCTGAGAAACAATTCACTGCGCCATGGTGCCGGGGATGGAGCACAGGGGTTGAGCATGGTTATGTGTGCGTGTGTATGCGTGTGTGTGCATGTGTGTGCATGTGCATATGTGTGCATGTATGTGTGTGTTTCTCTGTGTGTGAATGCATGTGTGAGTGCATGTTTGTGTGTGTGTCTGTGTGCATGTGAGTGTATGTGTATATGTGTCTCTGTGTGTAAGTGTGTGACTGTGTATGTGTGTGCATGTGCATGGGTCTGTGGGTTTCTGCAGTGGATAGAGAGGTGAGTCAATGGATGGGTGAGTGGTTGGGTAAATGGGTAGATGGATGGATGGATGGATGGATGGATGGATGGATGGATTGATGGGTGGATGAGTGGATGGGAGGGTGGGTGGAAAAGTACATGGAAGGATGGATGAGCTGATAATCGGATCGATTGCTGAATAGACAGATAGATGTGTAGGGTGGGCAGGGTGCTGGGTGAGTCCTGGGATCACAAATCAGCCCAAAAGCCCTGATCTATACAGTGATTTTCCTTTTCTGCTGCCCCCAGCGGCCTCCATGCTTGTAGGTCTGCTGGTTTTTCCAGCCACTCTGGCTTCCCCGTTCGCCAAAGAAGTCTGTGAAGGCTCCTCCATGTATCACAGTGGAGCATGCCGGCTGAGCTGGGGCTATGCCACTGCCATCCTCAACGCAGTCCTGACCAGCCTGCTTGCCATCAGGTGGCAAGTGACCACGGTCCAGAGGACAGCCGTCCCCTTCTCCAATGACACTCAGAGAGTCATCCTTCTGCCAGAATAAGGAAATGAGTGTCACCTAGGAAGAGCAAAAGACAAACAACAACAATCTCTACAGCTGAATGAAATTGTTACACACTCAGGTTCAGATCCCCCATCTGCTTCCATGCTGTGTGACCTCAGGCAAATCGCTTTCCCTTTCTGGACTCACTTATTCTTTGGTACAGCGGAGGTTGGCATAATGCCTACTTTGTGGGAGTGTTATAAAGGACTTTGATTTGCCATATGTAAATGAGTGGAAAGTACACAGAAAAACCCTAGAAAGACAGCTGTCCAATCCAAAACATTTTTTTGAGACAGTGTTTCTCTGAAGCTCTGAAATCCTAGAATTCTCTATATAGACAGGACTGGCCTCAAACTCACAGAGCTCCGCCTACCTCTGCCTTCTGGAATCAAAGGCATGCACCACCACACCTGTGTAATCTTTCCATGTGGGATACTTGTTTTCTCTCTCTCCTTGTAATCCCTCCTCTCCTGGGGAATCTGAGTGTCTTTATTTCCCATGAGCTATGATCCGTTGTGTGCTGGATGCTGTTCCTGCCGGGCGGGGCTCAGGACCCTGCTCGATACTACATGTAAGCAAAGCATTAGTGGATGGATGAGGAAACCATGCTGTTTCTGGGAGCTTGGAGGCCTTCCATCTGGCTCATCTGCCTGTCTGTCTGTCTGTCTGTCTGTCTGTCAATACTTCTTGTTGTCCGTGATGTTTTCATGTTGATTGTCACTGTGACAGGAACAGGAATCACCACAGAAAGCAGCCTCCAGGCGTGCCAGTGAGAGACTTTCATAACTGAGTTGATGGAACCCGGGAGACTCAATTAAATGGGCAGCAGCGTCCATGGGCTGGGGTCCTGGTCTGAATGACTTGAGAGGCACCAGCACTCGTCACCGTCTGCTTTGTCACTGTAGATACTACGTGACCAACTACCTCATGCTCCTGCCGCCATACCTTCCCACCAAGATGGATACTTTTACCCTCAAACTATGAGCCAGGAACAACCAACCCCCTGAGACCGCTGCTCTTGGCCAGATCCAGACTCACTGGGCACCAGCATTCTTTGCTCTTTTTCACTTTCCTGGGGATATGACCTGACTAACTGTTTCCAGCGCCTGCCACCTTGTCTCCCCCACCGTGATATCCTAGAACTGTGAGCTAGAATAGAGTCCTTTCCCCTTAATTTGGTTTGTCATGGTATTTTATCACAGCAACAGGAAAAGAAACTAAGACATGGGTCTTTCAGCCTCTGTGCCCGGACCCTAGCCAAAGGCATTCTGGGTGTTATCAGAGGAGACATTAATGTAGTCAGTGAACTGGAGGGACTTCTATGAACACAGCTTCTGCTACAAAAGGAGGAGCCACTCCACCTTAGACCACTCAATAGTGAGATATGCTTTCACTTCACAGAGGGCCCCCAAGGTTCTTAATTTTCTCTTGGAAAAATCCCAGCGACCCCAGGGGTGCCATCAGTTCAAGAAGCAAAGGCATTTCCAGAGAGATTCTGTCTTTAATACCAAATCCCCAAATTCCCCTATATGGCTTTCTCCATCAAAATGAAGAGCCATTGTCAGCCAGGAGCCTGCATGGCTACAGAGGCTGGAGACCTATGCCCGGCAAAGCTCCAAGCAGCTCCCTAAAGAGGAAAATCCCCTGGAGCCAGGTGGGGTGGTGGTCATCAACCTTCTGCTGGGTGACTTAGCCATGGACTGACACCTAGAACTTCTGCCTATGAGGGTCAAATTCTGCTGCTCCAGAGTGGGAACCCATCCTGGGCTCAAGCTCCCACTGTGCTCTGAGGCTTTAAAAAAAAAAGACACTGGGGGGAGAGGGAGGGCGGCTACAGTTTCTGACTGATCTTCCATCATATGGCAGAAGTGCCAAGAGCTTGCCCAGCTGGAATCTGCCTCTTAAGTTGCACAGGCTCACCCAAGAAGCTGAGGGAGGAGAGCTGGCAGGAACTCAGGGAAGATGGATTTCCAGCCAGGACAGCTCAGCAACGTCAGGGGAGGGAGCGCCATCAGAAGGGAGGCATGGGGCTGAGTCCAGAAGAAAGGAAACCTCTATTCTCCCATTGCACATGTGTGAAAACAGCCTGAGAAGTTCTTATCCTGGGATACACAGCCGTAAACAGCTGCCATGAGAATTTTCACCCTTGGTTGGTGGGTGGGGGTAGGAGGACTAGGCAGCAGTTACCCCTCCCCTGCCAAAGACAACTACAATTGATCCCATCCACAGCAACCAAGGAGTTGATTAGGCTGACATACAAATCAATGAGTGAAGACTGATATTAAATCAGGCACATCGGAAGGTCAGTTCTTAGCACGGATGACGGCTTCTCTGTGACTATGTAGATGGAAACTCCTTCCTCTAGCCTCCCCCAGCATGTGTACCCTACACACTGGCCTCTCTCTGAGACCCTGAGGTCACACACAATCAGAGTAGAACTGGGTACTGGTTGGGAGGAACGGCTAGTTACACAGGTGAGGGACCCGTGGTCCCAAGTCACATGCCCAGGGTAAAAATGCTCATGGCCGCGTGTGTATGGCCGTGAGAGGCTTTGTTTCCTTGTCAGCTGTCCACAAGCACAGCTGGGAAGGTCTTTGCAATGAGGATGGTGACTGTGGCTTGAACAGAAATGCTATACAACAGCATTAGAGCTGTAATCCTGTCTCCAAAGTGTAGACACAGGCAGACAATCTCAGCTCATTCGGCATTGTGAGACGGTTCTGCCTATTTCTACCATTCCTTTATATCTTGGGATACAAAAGTCTCACTGGGCACTACTGTATCTTCAACACCTTTCACACCCTTACTCCCCAATTGCTGTGTGTGTGTTAGTGTGGTCAACCTGGAGTGCTGGTCCTTAGGTATTATGGTGGTCTGAATATGCGTTGTCCATGAGAAGTGGCCCTATTAGGACTTGTGGCCTTGTTAGAATAGGTATGGCCTTGTTAGAGTAGGTGTGGCCTTGGTGGTGTAGGTGTGGCCTTGTCAGAGTGGGTGTGGCCTTGTTGGAGTAGGTGTGACCTTGTTGGAGGAGGTGTGGCCTTGCTGGAGTAGGTGTGGCCTTGTTGGAGTGGGTGTGGCCTTGTTGGAGGAGGTGTGGCCTTGCTGGAGTAGGTGGGGCCTTGTTGGAGTAGGTATGGCCTTGTTGGAGTAGGTGTGGGCTTGTTGGAGGAGGTGTGGCCTTGCTGGAGTAGGTGTGCCCTTGTTGGAGGAGGTGTGGCCTTGCTAGAGTAGGTGTGGCCTTGCTGGAGTGGGTGTGGCCTTGTTGGAGTAGGTGTGGCCTTGCTGGAGTAGGTGTGCCCTTGTTGGAGTAGGTGTGGCCTTGCTGGAGTAGGTGTGGGCTTGTTGGAGGAGGTGTAGCCTTGCTGGAGTAGGTGTGGCCTTGTTGGAGGAGGTGTGGCCTTGCTGGAGTAGGTATAGCCTTGCTGGAGTAGGTGTGGCCTTGTTGGAATAGGTGTGGCCTTGTTGGAGAAAGTGGGTCACAGTGTGAGCAGGCTGTGAGCTCTCCTAGTGCTCGAGCTGACTCCAGGGCAGAACAGAGGCTCCTCCTGGCTGCCTGCAGAATTCAGTCTCCTTCGGCTGCCTTTGGATCAAGATGTAGAACTATCGGTAATTCCAGCGCCATGTCTGCCTGCGCACTGCCATGCTTCCCGCCCTGATGATAAAGGACTGAACCTCTGTAACTGTAAACCAGCACCAACTAAATGTTTTATTTTATAAGAGTTATCTTGGTCATGGTGTTTCTTCACAGCAACAAAACCCTAACTAGAACAGGTACTATCTGTCAGGCCCAAAGGAAACTCCAGTTCCCCAAATTCCAAAGGCAGTCCAAATATCCAGAAATTTCTGCATGGGTGCTCATCTTGGACTACAGGAGGACTTCCAGTGGTTAGATAAAAGCCAGCGTTCCTCAGGAACTTGTGAAGCCGGTTCCCTTCTGCTGGAAGAAGTCATTTCCCTTGCCTCTGGCAAAAGGGACTTAGAGTTCTCCAGTCAAGTAAACCTGTATTGCCCGTCAGCCTATCAAGGTCCAGGCTAGCCTTCACCTCAGTCCCTAGTCACAAGTACTGCAATATATATTTCAAAGCCCCATGCCGGTCTGCTGGCCCTGCCCTCCCGGCAGCCACTCACTCTGTTTATAAGCCAGTTCTTCTTGCTTTGCAACAGTTACAGCCCTGTCATTTTATGTCCTCCCTGGTCTCTGTCCCTTCCTGCTATTCTCCCCTCTAGCAAATAGCTCTGGTCACGTCCTGTCTTCTTTCTCTCTCTGCTCTGGACTCTCCCTGATGCTTCCCTTCTATCTACAATAAAACCTTCCCACACCATGGAACGGGCCATGTAGCCTGTTTATACACAATCCACCTGTTTTGAGACAATGTTTCTCAGTGGCAGGGCTGGTGGGCCAGTGGGCCACCATGTTCCTCCATCTCTACTTCTCTAGCACTGGGATTCCAGATATGTGGTGCCATACCTGGGTGAGGTGATAGGCTTTGCTCTACAGTAAGCTTCAGCCATCATGTGTCCTTCTCAACCTTAAACCCTAAAAGCAGCATGTCTTCCCACCACGGACTGAGGCTTCCTAGACACAAGCCCAAGTAGATTTCCCTAGGATCAGATCAGATCACTTCAGGTCAGTTACAGCAGGGAAGGCTGGCTAACACCAGGGGAGGCTGGCTAACACCAGGGAAGACCTGCTAACAGGCAGGGTAGGCCGGTTAACATGCAAGGTAGTCTGGCTAACACCAGGGAAGGCTGGCTAACACCAGGGAAGGCTGGCTAACACCAGGGGAGGCTGGCAAACACCAGGGAAGGCTGGCTAACACCAGGGGAGGCTGGCTAACACCAGGGAAGACCGGCTAACAGCAGGGTAGGCCGGTTAACATGCAAGGTAGGCTGGTTAACATGCAAGGTAGGCTGGCTAACACCAAGGAAGGCTGGCTAACACCAGGGAAGGCTGGCTAACACCAGGGAAGGCTGGCTAACACCAGGGAAGACTGGTTAGCAGGCAGGGAAGGCTGGTTAACACCAGGGAAGGCTGGCTAACCCACAGGGTAGGCTGGCTAACATGCAGGGAAGACTGGTTAGCAGGCAGGGAAGGCTGGTTAACACCAGGGAAGGCTGGCTAACCCACAGGGTAGGCTGGCTAACACGCAGGGAAGACTGGTTAGCAGGTAGGGAAGGCTGGCTAACCCGCAGGGTAGGCTGGCTAACACATAGCTAACACACAGGAGGAAAGGCTGGCTAACACGCTTACAGAGGAAGGAGCTGATGGATGCTCCAGCTCAAAGGCTCTGCTGAGAGAACATTTTATCAACTAATCATTCACACAGCTTTCTTCTGCCCACGCCAACAGGCCAGGCTTTCTTTTTGGAGTTTTAAAAGTGAGTTGGTTTAAGGACATTGCGTGTGTGTGTGTGTGTGTGTATGTGTTTAATGTGTGGTGTACATGTGTG